CTGCGTACCCCCCCCCCCCCAAGACCATACTCTGGGGGATTCAACTGGGTTGTTGTTGTTGTCTTCCTAACAATATTTACTTGTTTGTTTGTTTAATTAAAAATTTATATGGTTTTTATCCCAGGTCATTCAGCAGAGCTACACATTGAGAGTCTTCATTCTTTTTCATATCTTTGTTCTCAAACGGAGGACAGCCTTGCATTTCAACTCTTTGCTGAGTTTCCTTCAGTTCTTGTTCCATTATCAAATGATAACCAGGTTTGATTTCATATATTTATTCACTATAATTAGGTTAAAGTTTTCAAGGAATATACACATCTTTACAAATTTATCTTAAAGGTTTTGACACACACTTTGATCTTTTTTTAGAATCATAATTCAGTGCTAGTATGCTCTCAGTTCTAATATGTTTATCTTCTGTGGCCAGTGTGTGCGGATGGCAGCCATGAGCTGTATTGAAGCACTTCAGACTATGTGGTCACGAGTTAATTTCTCCAAATATAAAAATGGTGGCTTACACTCTTATAGTGCTTCTTGAGCTTACTTATTTTATAACTTGTAAAATCTTCTAACCCCAGAAAATAACAGGCCTTTCTGCTGTATGGGTCGATTTTCTTGGAGATCTGTTGGCCTTAATCGTTCAGCAGAAGAAGCTGATTATCTCAGACATGAATGTTCTCCCATCTTTCCTAGCATCATTGCTAAGCTCTTCAAACCAGAGCCTTTTAGTGCAGCATAATATTGGAAAGAGGTTGCTTAAATGTTTCAATTTTGTGCTAATGCTTAATGCTCTTAACGACTTAATGTTTTTGCCACCATTATGTTAGTTATACATATAAGGGACTGCTATGTTATTTCTAAATCCTAATTGGAAGGCTTTCATATTATCAAAATTTTGCAGATTTGATCAGAAAACAAAAGATAAAATCTTGGTTTTCATTGTATGTTATGGTCTAGGACTTTCTGCTTATGCAAAGGTTGGTATCTACACTTTGGTTGTTTGATGTATTAACATATTGTATTTTAGTTGTACTTGCTTAAGTCTACATTTAGAAATGTCAACTTGTTTGAATGTCGTTCATTTTTGGTGGCAGCTAAGAATTCTATCACTACTTAAAGGCTTAGGAAGCGTACTAATGCACATTGCTGGTGTCAAGTCACATCTATGTGAGCTTCTGAAAAGGCGTTGTGAATATCACCTTGGATATGATAAATCATATCCTAAATTGTCAAAGGAAGAAGTTTCCATTCTTTGCCTTCTATTAGATGTAAGCTCAAAGTTTAAATATTCTAGTTGATATAATTATATGTTAATCCTTCAGATAAATTTAAGGGAGTAATCTCTGTCTTTCAGATCTGTACCGGCCCTTCTACTTCTATTGCTGGTAAGGATTTGAAGGACCCAATAATGATGGCTCTGCAGGTTTGTTGCCTCTTTTTCTGCATTATTTTTCCATAGCCTGTCTTTTCTGTTGTCACACTTATTCTATGAGCTCCCATGTGATAGACATGTGACATTGCCACATACTTGCAGTTCAGTGCTGTAGCGTCTGAAGACCCTGCTGTTGTGGAGCCCTGTTTGACTGTTCTGAGGAATCTTACCAATTCTCTTTTTGGAATGTTAGAAACCGCAACTCAGGTACATAATACAGTTAGATACATTATCATTGCAGTTTACGCTTGTCTGGAAGAATGCTTTATGATTTGCATAAACAATTGGTATTGCGAGCTAGGATTTAATTTACATTTGGTCACATCTTAATATGAAAATCCATCCTACTGCACTGCGCGGTTGAAATGTGATTTGTTTACCCTGTATTTCTTGGCATTCAAGATTCATTGTATACCCTGTTTTATGACTCAGTTTGTCATTATTGCAGGAGATTCTCTTTCGAGACCTTGTGTGTCTGTTTCGGGCTGCCAATAGTGAAATACAAGATGCTAGTAAAGGGGTCTTGCTCCGGATTGATGTTTGTTCTCTCTCCCCTCTCTTCCCGCACATCCCATTATATGCATTTTGCCATATAGGTTCTTTAGAGTATGCTTCCCTTGGTATTTTTTTGTTTTTATGGAGTACAAATAAGTTCTATAGAGCTTTTTGTATTCAATCTATTTTGATGACTATGGTGAAGTCCCCCACATTTATCTTAAATCTTAAAATGGTCATGCTTTTATCTTTGTTGTAATAAGTTAATATCTTTATAGTGTCTATTAACTATAAGGTCTGTTCTGAATATGTATCCACTTTAACAGTATTTTTGCTTGCATCATTAAAATATTCACCAGAACATTATCACTTGCCTATTTGTAATATCGTGGAATTTGAAGCTACGGCTTCTATGATTATGATCAGTTTGTAACAAAATTTGATTCAATATGTGGTTCGTTTCTTTTGTATTCAGATGATGTAATCTGCTTGGTTTTCTCTCCAGCTAACGTCTGGCTTCTTTATTCTTTCAGATTAGTTGCTCCATTGTTGCACGCATGCTTGATTACATCATATGTATGAAAACTAATACTCTAGGCTCAGCAGATGGAAGGAGAAAAAAGAAAGGAGCGATCCATCAAGATTCTGATGTTTGTGGTTTGATTCCTAAGGCCGTAGATCCACTTGCTTTTACCAGCTCACTACTTGATATTCTATTGTTGAAGAAAAACCTGGAGAACAGGTTGATGTTGCCTTCACTTTATTTCATTCACTGTTATATCTGCCCTGCGATTTGTATTTGTACCTTATGCTCACAGTAACCAATATTCTGCGTACAGAATCTCTCTTCTAGGTCCGTTGTTCAAGCTTCTTCACAAGGTCTTTATGGAAAGTGATTGGAATCATTTTGCAGCACACTCAGATACTATTTTGCCTACATCAGAAAATTCTCAGAATGTTACTGTAATTAACATTCAACAGACATTGCTTTTATTATTGGAAGATATTACTACTTCAGCTGCAGCAAAGGTTTTGTGAATTTTTTTACTCGTGTATCAACTGCTGTAATGCATGTGAATGTGTTTTCCTGTGTCCTTATCAGTTGCGAATCTTGACAGGATAATGTAGTAGGCCTTGAGATTGAACTCTTAATTAGATGTGCCCGTTCTACAACCAATTCTGTGACCTGCAATCATGTTTTATCATTGCTATCTACGATAGCAAAGGTCATGCCCAACAGAGTTTTGGACCATATATTGGATATTCTGATTATTGTGGGTGAAACCACTGTGACACAGGTTCCTCTTTGAGCTACTTTCTAAGTTCTATGTTTTACTTTTAGTCTGGTATTCTATTTTTTCCTTCAAATGATTTTTTGCAATTTTTTTGCTTGTTATACACACAAAGTTGATGGCTCATCCAATCTTCTTATAATACCTGATATGTTGTTTCAATTGCCGTTTCTTAGCTTTTTTTACCAGCATGGTATAAAAACTCTACTGTGCTTCTTAGTATTAGTTTTATTCTATTTTAATTAGTTCTTCTAAGCTGATTGTTTTTCTTGCAGTGGGACAGCTATTCTCAACATGTTTTCGAGGACCTCATTTCTTCTATTGTGCCATGTTGGTTGTCTAAAACTGACAGTATAGACAATCTGCTACAGGTATTGTGTGGCCTTGGTATTTCCTCCCAAGAACATTCTTAGTACTTCAGGTGCTAATACAATTAACCTCTTACCTTTCCAGATCTTTGTGAGTTTTCTACCAGAAGTTGCGGAGCATAGAAGGCTTTCAATTGTTATGCACCTCCTGAAGTATAATTTTGTATCATTTTTAATTTTGATTGTAGTCACATTTTATAGTTCTGCTAAGAATCTTTTTAAACAGGAACTTAGGAGTGGATACTAGTTTGGGAGCACTGTTCTTTCTTCTCTTCCGTTCACTAATCTCAAAAAAGCATTTGGCGTGTACTGGTGATGCCAGCCCTCTAAGCTACTGTAGCTCTAGCATTAGAATGGAGTGGGAGTATACATTTGCAGTGCTGTTATCTGAGCAATATGATTGCTTTGTATGGCTTCCCTCTATTGCTATTCTGCTACAGAAAATAGGAACAAATTGTGGGAGTGAAGAAATGTTTATGATCTTGGCAGTTGCAGAGCATTTTACTTCAGATAAATTGCAAAATCCTGAAATTGCATTCAAGCTTGATACAAGAGATATATCAGAAAGCTTGCAGGTCATTATATTGTTGATTCTTTTTATTGTATTATCTGTGCATTATATAATGAACTTTTTTTGAATTGTGCTATCATGTGCTGAAATTATTTTGACAATGTGTACTTTTTTATGAATTATTTTTTTGCAGCCAACTATTGGTGCTATTTTTGAACATATGGTCTCTCACCTGCTGCTAGTCGAATCCAAAAAGCATCAAATGGGTACTCCTATAATCAGGAAGGAACTGAGAGAGAACATACGGTCTGTCTTAAAGGCTGTTTCAAAGTGCCTTAGACCTCCAATATACTTCAACATTGTTGTGCAATTGCTTGAAAATGCGGATATTAATGTCAAAAAGAAGGTATGCGGATTCATATATCCCTTTGATTTAATGTCTCTATACTGTGCAGTTGGAGTGTATGTATGATACACTAGACTTAATAAGCTCTAAGTTAATTTTGTTATTACACATGATATGTTGACCTTCATAACAATCTATTATCACTGAAGCATGTTTTTTTCCCTTTATAACTTTATATGATTGCATGAATGATGTATTATATTAAACTTTATCTTTTCTGTGATAATCACTCAGAAGATCTTGATGCTTCATGGATAACTCGCTGCTTTTACTTATCTTTCAACAATTCATCTTGTTTTTTGTTATAAGTTTAGTTGTTTTAATATATATATATATATATATGTATGTATGTGTGTATGTATGTATGTATGTATGTATGTATGTATGTATGTATGTATGTATGTATGTATGTATGTATGTAAAATCTCACTGTATTGCAGGCCCTTGGAATTTTGTGTGATACAGTGAAGTCCACGGCTACAATTGATTCAACACACGGGAAAAAAGAATTAACTTCAACCTCAAGAAACCCATGGGTTCTTTTGGATGAGGCTGCTTTGGAAGTGTTCAGCAAAATGTGTCTAGTTATACTAAAATTTATTGATGATTCTGGCAAACACTCTAGTAGTCATTTGAAAGTAGCAGCAGTCTCGACCATTGAAGTTTTAGCTCTTCGGTACCCTTCAGACAACTCAGTCTTCCACTTGTGTCTTTCATCGATTTGTAAAAGTATATGTACGGACAATTCTTCTGTCTCTTCTGGATGCCTACGTGCCACTGGTGCTCTGGTCAATGTGTTGGGGCCAAAAGCATTGCCTGAGCTTCCTTGTATAATGGGAGCCTTGATACAGAAGTTTCGCAGTTGCTCTAAGTCTGCTATATCAATTTGTGAACAAAATGAGGGTAGTCTTATTGCATCATCCGAACAAAGCAACCCTGTGTTTATGTCTATTCTTGTTTCCTTAGATGCAGTAGTAAATAAGCTAGGTGGGTTCTTGAGTCCACACCTAGGTGATATTCTTGAACTTCTTGTGTTGTGTCCTCAATATACATCCACATCAGACGTACAGTTGAAGTTAAAAGCTGATGATATAAGAAAGCTCATAGCGAGTAAAGTCCCTGTAAGTGTTTGCAAAGCATTTCATTTTGCCTTACATGATTTCAAAGATTTTTTCTACTTAATTTACATTTGTATAAATGTTTTTTAGGTTCGTCTTTCCCTTTCTCCGTTGCTGACAATATACCCTGATGCCATTAGATGTGGGGAATGTAGTTTATCGATTGCTTTCAAAATGCTTGGAGATGTAGTTGCTACCATGGACAGATCAACTATTGGTGCTTATCATGTCAAAATTTTTGACATGTGCTTGCAAGCACTTGATCTTCGCCGTCAGCATTTGGCTTCTGTGAAAAATGTTGAACTTGTTGAGAAAAGTGTCATTAATACAATGGTGGGTCTTTCTATGAAGCTGACGGAATCTATGTTCAGGCCTCTTTTTATTAAGAGCATTGAATGGTCAAACTCGAATGCTGAAGAGAATGAAACAAAAAACCCAAACGATCGCATCATTTCATTCTATGGCTTGGTGAACATGTTTACTGAAAACCATCGGTGAGTTTACTCTCATTCAGGCATTCGATATGCACTGTTTTTTTCTTATAGATTATATGGTTAATGTGGTGTTATTTTTTTAACTACTATATTTGAGGCCAAACTTGTGGTTCTTGTCTAACACTTTACTCAAATGTCTTACACCATGGATCTGAACTTTTTTTTGGTTGTCTACAGTCTACTTAATGACATGATCTAAAAGATGGTTTTATTTGGGGCATGTAATTGGAGGGGGTGCGGGGGTGTATTAGGAATTTTCCAGGCTGGGGCTTCTAATAAATATTTTTCACGGTAAAGTAAAATGAGACTTCTGAAACATTTTGATGATGTGATTTGGGTCAATGGCATAGCCAAGTGCCCTTGATTTTCTTTTGACTAGGCTCTTTGTGTACATGTTTGGATACTCTCTTAAAAAGCCACTGTTTAGTGCTGCACAAAAGTCTTCTAAAAAGCGTTAAACAACCCCCCCGGACAGTAGACTAGATGGTATAATGGTGTGTTGGAGTGCTTACCTGGACATTATATGAGAGCTAAGCGGTCTTATGCGTAGGTATATCATAGGCTGCTAGGGAATGCCTACACCTGTGCAGAGGTAGACAGGAATTTTTAGAACAATGCTGCAAAATATGATGCAATTGGTTTCCAACTATATTTTTCTTTATTAAACAACCACCTATATCAAACATATAGAAACTCTATTGATGCAATATATTTTTCAGAGTTACTTTTGCAATTACCTTTTCTGGTTCCACATTTGAGATGTTTTTATGAGTTTGAATTTAACTTTCAGGTCACTGTTTGTCCCGTACTTCAAGTACTTGCTGGAGGATTGTGTAAGACACCTCAAGCAGGTTGAAGATGGGAAAGATGCTGGCACTCAGAAAAAGAAAAAAGCCAAGCGTTCGGAAACAAACAAGGATGCAGATTGCGGTATATCTGTTGGAGCATGGCATCTAAGAGCACTGATTTTATCTTCACTGCATAAATGTTTCCTTTATGATAATGGAATTAAAAAGTTTCTCGACTCATCCAATTTCCAGGCAAGTTATAATATCCATACCCTGATATGCTTTATGTTGTAAAATCAATATTATACTTCAGTGAAGTATTTTTGCCTCATTGATGATGCAAGAAAAAAAAGCGTAAACTTATTTTTTATATATTTGGCTTTACCTTAGAAACTGTAATATGATTAACTATTATACTCTTTTTTCATACATGATTTCTTTATCATTATGTAACATGAAGAAATAAGCAAAATGAGTTTGAACAATTATCTAAAATAAATTGTGAGCCCGCCCTTTATTTTCTCCAAACTTTCTCTTGTTTTCCTTTCACCAAAGCAAAATGACTAGTAGATGACTTAATCTACTAAAATCATTTCCATAAAAGTACTTATTTAGAAGCCAACTCATCATCCACCTAAGATTTGGTAAAGTTCGTGTAGTTTTTGATAGAGAATGAAGTTAAGTTACTTAATTTAAAAAATGTCTAAAGGTCAGGTACCACCAGTGAAATTTACCTCATTTAGTTGGATTATGATATGTTTATACTCCTTACATCAAAGGATACATGACATTTTTGGGTTTTTTCTCTGTGGTTGATTTACTCACCAACAAATGTTTCTTCAGGTCCTTTTGCAGCCTATTGTCTCACAGCTAGATGTTGATCCCCCACTATTATTAGAACAAAATCCAAGCGTACCTTCTGTGGAGGAAGTTGATGACTTGTTAGTTTCATGCATTAGTCAGATGGCTGTCACTTCTGGCTCTGACCTTCTTTGGAAGCCCTTAAACCATGAGGTCATTTCCCAACCTTTCCTTTAATCATCTCTCCTCCCAACAATTGGAAAATCTAAGGGGTTCTAGAGCGATTCACTTTGAGTGGGTCTGGATGACACCGGCTCCAATTGGGGTACTTACCTGTGAACCGTTCACAAAACTGATGGTTCCTATTCCCTAATCCCCCTCGGTGGAAAACCCATCACTGGTCCTACTCGAACCACTTCACTTTCATCCCGGGAATTCACTTGACTTTTGGGTCAATTTTATTATACCCAAGAGTCAACTAAATTTGGGTGGTAAAATTGAAGAGGGTTGGGGGTTGGTTCGGGCCGGGATGGAGAGGTTTATTGGGTGGGAACCATCATTTTTACGAACAAAGCACCGTAGGTTCTCCAAAAAGACAGGCACTGTAGTGTCAACCAAAGCCAATCACTCTAGAACCGTTCCTATTGAAAATCGTCCGTACCAAATTGTCGTCATATTTCAGGTTTTGATGCACACCCGTAGCAACAAACTACGGACGCGTATCTTGGGTTTGAGAGTGGTCAGGCAGCTGGTGCAGAGCTTGAAAGAAGAATACTTGCAGTTTTTGGCAGAAACAATTCCATTCCTTGGCGAACTCTTAGAGGACGAAGAGCCATCGGTGAAATCCCTTGCGCAAGAGATCCTCAGGGAGATGGAATCCCTGAGCGGCGAAAGCATTCGCCAATACCTATGAAGAAGTGTTGGATTGTATACTACACACACACTAGTATTCTCATTTGTAGCACAAAGTGTTGTATATTATCCAGTGACCATATAGGCTATTGCCTTCAAATTTTGATGATTGCCAATACTCACTTTTGTGCTGTTGTAGAACCAGCGAGTACTACTTCCTTTTCATATTAAAGTTTCTATATTTTTGAGTTTAAGAAAAAAAAGTAGAATTATGGTTAAAATTTGAGCATTTCTTAATGGGAAGGAGAGATGGTGTTAAGTGGGGCTTCTATGTATACCGGACAAATATTGATTGGACAATTTTTTTGTTGTTGAAAACTAGGTATTTTAATACTTTGTAGTAGGGAGTGTAAAGTGATTAATTTTTGCAACAACATCATCAAAAATAAAGTATTTTTGTTTCAAACGAGTTCTTAAATGCCAATATTAATTATAATTAGGCTTTGAGTATTTGTATCCATAGCCTTTGAATAATCATTTATGGCACATATTGAATATTGATAGTTTGAACATCGATTTTTTCAAGAATATTCAAGCATAGGGCACAAGTACACAACAACTATCTCTGTCTCAAAGGTGTACTATTTTTAAGTTTGTCCAATGACCCACATCAATGTTGACCACCGACCACTTAAAAATCAACACCCACATCAACGTTGACTACACTCACCATCTTGCGATTCACACATGTAGTGCCATACATCCAGTGCAATAGTTACACTTTTTACTTTTTAAAACAAATATTTACCTATTTCTATTTAAATTAAATTCTTTTATAGAATTATAATACGTATTAAATAGTAAAACATTATTTTATTATATTTTCGGGTTTATTCTTTTTTTCTTTTGTTATTAACATTATTTTCCCGTTTTGGATTATTAATTTTTTTTCATGTTTTTACAAAGTATATGATAACAATGAAATGCACCCAATAAATAAAACAATTAAAATAACAATGCATATATTAAATAAACTTAATTGTAAATTTACTTTTAATAAAACTTATTATTTGTTGATAATTTTTTATCCAAACTATTAAAATATATGCTCTCCGTCCCAAATTATAATGCATGTTTACTATTCACAAGGTCAAATTTCACTCACTTTCTTTCTCTATTTTCGTTAGCAATTTGATAAAATAAAGTACTATTGTCACTACTAGTTTTGTAGATCTTTTGATGTAAGTATTTTAATATGTAATTTTTATTTTTTAATTATATATCATTTGTCATATAAAATGATTTGAAAATAATTTCATTCAAATATCGTAAACCGAAATAGGCGTTATAAAATAGGACGGGGGGAGTATGTATTTCTCTTTAATTATATATGTTTGGATACAATTTTGTTACTACATTCTTAGTTATTTAAGCACTTGAACTTCTCCCATATCTTTAAGTGCTTGGAAGCCTAGTTAGCAAGATTTATGAGGAAAATCACCGAAGTTCGAGCCCTAACGCAAGCAGAAATATTGATTTGTTGTGCACCATTAGGTTGAGAAACTTAAGAACAAATACTACATTGTAATCGAGTCAATTACACTAAAAATGTATGCACTTAAGCCTCTAGATTATGAATATTAAATGCTTTAGATATTCAAAATAACATTTTTATTCATATTTACTATACGAAATACTCCATTCTTCATTCACCCTTGAATTCCCAAGTTTGATGAGGAGAGCTTGTGTCACCATTGACTACGTGGCCGCCTCATCGCTACATTAAGATTAATGTGGACACATTGGTGAGGTTGCTCGACGGAGCCTGAAAAAAATTAAAACTAAACAAATAGGGGTAATATAATTTTTTTTTGAACGTACAAAATCTTATCACTTTTTAAACTATTTAATAACAAATTGGTATATAAATAAAAACTACAAACTACACCGTTCAAAATTGGATCAAAAGTTTTTTTTTGAACCAAGCACAAATAAATCTTCATTCCAAACACAACAGTAAGAACAATAGACTAACCCCATACATACTAAACCAATCTAACAACTCCAAAAACCATCTAAATCCTTTTTCCTACCCTTTTACCCTCAAGTGATAAACCAACAATTTCACTAATACACCGAAATGTAAATTCCTCCTTGATTCTTTTGCCCTTATAAATTTTCTTGTTTCTAGCCTTCTAGATAAAATAGCAACATGCTGTAATGTATGCAGCCATGTGCTATTTCTGTTTCCTGCCTCTTCCCAGTTCCATCTTCTTTCCCAGTTCCTTAACGGAATCAGCCTGTATTTCAACATTAAGATGATTTTTTTTTGACAAAGTAAAAGATGTATCATTAATTATATTTGGACAGGAGAAATATTGGAAGCCTCATCCGCCGTATTTAATGATTCAGAGCTAAACTTTTTTAGGTTTGGTATTCGAGCTAAACATTTAGGTGTAAAATTGTAAATATCTCAGCCAAACCAATTGGTCCGGACTCCGGACGGAGGAACCCGCATAGCCCATTTAGCCCAGACCTAAAATAGGTCACTCGGTCACTTCCATGAGCACAGTATAAAATAGGTCACTCGGTCATCCCAAACCCCAGCGCCCCAGCTTATTCTCTCACAATTCTAAATCTGATTCTAATTCTCCTCTCATTCGGCGCGATTGAAATTCATATCCTCTCTCCGTTTTCGCGCAATTCTTCTAAGGTAATTTCTCCCTCTTTCTCTTCGCCTCTGAATTTCATCGTCTTCCTCGTTCGTTTTTTTGTTTAGACACTTAGGGTTTTGAATTTCTTCGATTTTTCGTTCAGATCTCTCTCAGATTCGTTCTATTAGGGTTTAGACTTACCTTTTTGAATACAATACAGAGCTTAATTTTCTCAATTTAAGTCCTTAGGGTGTTTTAATTTCTCCTTTGATCATGAGTCGTCTGTTCTCGAAGATCCGATTTTTACCGATTAACTGTGGATTATTATGAATTTTTTTAAATATTCAATTATGGATCGAACTGTTTCATTGAAGGTTTGAATTTCGACCCAGATTCAGGAAATTGAGGAAAAGAGTAGAAGAAAATGGAGAAAAGCAAGCTGTTATCATCGGAGAAGGGTAATGGAGGCGAAAAGGGTCGCCGGCGAGCATTCAAGAGGAGAAGAGAAGGGGTGATGAAGAAGGCCAGAGAGCTTTCAATACTCTGCGACACCCCTGTTTGGATCGTCATCCGATCTCCGGACGATGACGGAGATGAGGTCGGCATCTGGCCGCTGCCGCCGGAGAATGGTTCCCAGCAGGACGAAGTCATTCGACAGTGCAAAGAGAAGATGATGGCAATGATGAAGAATGGAACTGGCAGAGGAAGGGCGAAGAAACGAGCCAGAACAGCAGTGCCCGATGTCGGGGACGAAGAAACCGCGGCTAAACGGGTTAGAACCGCGCCTGATTCCGACGCAGCGGACTCAGAAAAGTGCGCGGATTCTTGCTATGTCCCGGAGCCGTTCCAGCTATTTCCACCAAGCTTTTATTCCTTGGACATTTCTACCCCGCTGGTTGGTGCTTAGAATGAATATTGGGGTTTTGAATTTGTAATTCTTTGGTTCATTCATTCATTCATTCATGTACACCTTGGTGTGCAACGAGAGATTTTATTGTATAATGGTCTCTCTTTTTTTGTGTGTGTGAAAAGGCAGTATGTTGCAGTACATATAATTGGTGAATAATTTGTTGCGCAGATTGTTTTTTCGTTTTGATGGCTACGTTAGCTTTTGTTCTCTCTATGATGACATTTCATTCTTATTCAAGAGTGTGGTGAGTGGATCACGCCCTGCTCTTTCTTTTTTTCTTTTATATTATTTTTATTTATCTAAATTAAAACAAAAACATTAAATAAATTTTTCATTAATATTAATATTGCTTAAACTAAAAATATTACATAAATATTTCTTTTTTTTTTGAACAAAAGTACCAATATATTCCACTTCAAATATAATGTTTAGTACAAGCTCAGTATTAGCGCACTTAGCTGGTTACATTCTTCCTTTTGAACTCAATATAACTATGAAGAGTAAAATTAATATAGTCTATAGTATTCTGCTCGGTGATGTTCTTCTGATGAATAATCCCATTACGCGCTCTCCAAATGCCATAACATCCTATCGCTCAAGCTGCAATAATCTCTCTACAAAGTGTGCATCCCACCCTTGTGTTGATCATCTCACCAAATTCCACAATGCTATGTTGATCATACCGAAGGTTATAAGGTTGCAGAATTGAATTTAGAATCCTTCTTGTAAACTCACACTCACAGAAGAGATGCTTGTTGTCCTCCAGTTCATCTCCATATAGACTACACTCAGTGTTAGCTGCATACCATTTAGCCATTCTAGCCTTGGTTAGTAATCTATCTCGCATTAACAACCAGAATATAAACTACACCTTGGGGGGAGTCTTGTTCCATACCCAGTTAGCCCATCCAACCTTCTGGGGGTCACCCTGAAGCTAGTCATAACCCTTTTTCACCTCAAACTCCCCAGCTAACTGCATATCCCTAAATCTATCCCTCACCTTTACCATCTGCCTCCAATAATCTCAAGAGCAGATTGGATATACCTGGAGTGTATCCATTTGACCCAAAGAACATCCTTCTTGTTAGCTATGTCCTAATTTAATTTCATAATGGTAGCCTTGTTCCAGTTTATGATGTTTCTCAGCCCTAGACCCCCTTTGTTTTTAGGGTGGCAAATAATGTCCCAACTCACTAGAGGAGATTTAGAGTAATCAACTGATCCACCCCATAAAAAGTTTCTACATATGCTCAATATCCTCCTAAGAACCATTTTAAGAAAAATAAAGATCCAAGCCCAAAAGGTGATGACCCCCATAAGCATGGCATTAATAAGTCTAACTTTTGCACTATAGGAGAAATGCTTAGAGTTCCATGCATTAATCTTGGCAGTTAATTTAGCAACTAGTCTGTCACAGTCAGAGGATGGTAGTAACTGGGCTACCAAGATAAGTGAATGGTAACTTGCCTCTACCCATTCCAGTAATCTTGAGTAGGCTTTCCTGCTGCTGTGGTTTAACACCCCCAAATACCACTTGGGATTTACTTAGGTAAATCTGCAGTTCTGTGGTCTCCTAAAAGATCTCCAGTGCTTTCATAATACATTGAACAGATGTAACACCCTCCATCCCGCGAACCCGGTTCACCGCGGCCCAACGAGCTGGAGAGGTTACGTAGACGGTTTTTAAGACCGTCTACAAGGAAAACCCTTGCGTTGCTTGTAACGGAAAACCCTTGAAATACTTTATTAAGTGATGAAAATAATTTCATTTAAAGAGAATGTCTCCTAGCGGAAGTAAATGTGAATAAAACCGTTAAGTCATAAATAAGAAGTACGACAAAGGTGGGTTTCCGCCCAAAACAAGTTTAAGGATTAAATAGATAATTTATCGGGTCCACACTGTCGTTCATCCGCCACCGTGATCACCCAGTCGTCCGGGTCAGGCTCCATGATCCTCTTGCCTACCTGCATATAGCAAAGGAAACCAACGCTATACGCTCAACAAAAGCTGAGTGGTAATCTAATAGTAGAACGCATAATATATTCACATTAATATATACATAATTGTACCTGTACTAAGTACGATATACCACATACAAGTTTGTTGGATAATAGGTTACGAATTAACAGTGATTCAATGCCACAAAATCATGATGCATGAGTTAGGCCAAATAGCGTTTGTACCCCCCGTGGTTTGCAAAATATGCAGCAATACACCCCTTGTTTTCAAAACTTATTTCTAAAGTCCTTGTGGTTTCAAAACGCTGCATCCGTGCCCCCTCTAATCATTTTCCGGCGAAGAAAGGGGCATTGGTGCATATTTTCTAAACCGTGGGGGATACCACTGCTGATTTTTTTTATTTCTCTCTTATATTTTTGTTTTCTCCCATTTTTTTCCTTTATTTGTTTCATTTATCAATAAAGGTTATTTTACAATTACTTTTATAATGTTTTTAAAATTTAAAGTTATTTTTGTTTGAAAAAATTAACATATAATGCATCGGCACGTCTCAAATTAACAATTTTTTTCCAGAAAAAAGGTAATTTTTTTGAGAACTTCTAAAAAATGATGAATAAAATAAGAAACAAAATAATACAAAAATAAAAATGATTTATCCTTTTTGGACATCTCAATTTCAAGGATATTTTTGGGCGTGTTCTAAAATTGTTTTTTGTAGAAGTCTCTTTTTTTTATTTTCATTTTTTCATTTCATTTTTCCATATTTTTATATTGGGTTTTCTTTTTGAACTTTCCGAAAAATTATTCTATATAAGAAAAAGTGAAAATGTTTAATTTAAGATAGATGTAATGTATGGGAAAATTGGCACAAATATCCCTTATGTTTTCAAAACTTTTTTTTAAAGTATCTGTGGTTTCAAAACGTTGCACTCACACCCCCTCTGATCATTTTCCGGCGAAGAGGAGGCATTGACACATAATTTCTAAACCATAGGGGGCACTCGTGCTCATTTCTTATTTTTCATTTATTATTTTTGTTTTTCCTTCTTTTTCCTTTTCCAAGATTTTTTTAAATTTCTTTTCAATTTTTTATAATGTTTTAAAAAGTTTTAAAATTCTTTTTGTTTGAAATAAAAAAATTTAACATATATTACATCTATCTCAAATTAAACATTTTCACTTTTTCTTATATAGAATAATTTTTCGGAAAATTCAAAAAGAAAACCCAATATAAAAATATGGAAAAACGAAATGAAAAAATTAAAATACGAAAAAAAGAGTCTTCTACAAAAAACAATTTTGGAACACGCACAAAAATATCCTTAAAATTGAGATGTCCAAAAAGGATAATCATTTTCATTTTTGTATTATTTTTTTCTTATTTTATTCATCATTTTTTAAGAAGTTCTCAAAAAATTACCTTTTTTACGGAAAAATAAAAATTGTTAATTTGAGACGTGCCGATGCATTATATGTTAATTTTTTCAAACAAAAATAACTTTAAATTTTAAGAACATTATAAAAGTAATTGTAAAATAACCTTTATTGATAAATGAAACAAATAAAGGAAAAAATGGAAAAAAACAAAAATAGAAGAGAGAAATAAAAGAAATCAGCACTGGTACCCCCATGGTTTAGAAAATATACACCAATGCTTCCTTTCTTCGCCGGAAAAATGACTGGAAAGTGATCAGAGGGGGCACGGGTGCAACGTTTTGAAACCACAAGGACTTTAGAAATAAGTTTTGAAAACAAGGGGTGTATTGCTGCATATTTTGCAAACCACGGGGGGTACAAACGCTATTTGGCCTAACTCATGCATCATGATTTTGTGGCATTGAATCACTGTTAATTCGTAACCTATTATCCAACAAACTTGTATGTGGTATATCGTACTTAGTACAGGTACAATTATGTATATATTAATGTGAATATATTATGCGTTCTACTATTAGATTACCACTCAGCTTTTGTTGAGCGTATAGCGTTGGTTTCCTTTGCTATATGCAGGTAGGCAAGAGGATCATGGAGCCTGACCCGGACGACTGGGTGATCACGGTGGCGGATGAACGACAGTGTGGACCCGATAAATTATCTATTTAATCCTTAAACTTGTTTTGGGCGGAAACCCACCTTTGTCGTACTTCTTATTTATGACTTAACGGTTTTATTCACATTTACTTCCGCTAGGAGACATTCTCTTTAAATGAAATTATTTTCATCACTTAATAAAGTATTTCAAGGGTTTTCCGTTACAAGCAACGCAAGGGTTTTCCTTGTAGACGGTCTTAAAAACCGTCTACGTAACCTCTCCAGCTCGTTGGGCCGCGGTGAACCGGGTTCGCGGGATGGAGGGTGTTACATCTGTTCAATGTATTATGAAAGCACTGGAGATCTTTTAGGAGACCACAGAACTGCAGATTTACCTAAGTAAATCCCAAGTGGTATTTGGGGGTGTTAAACCACAGCAGCAGGAAAGCCTACTCAAGATTACTGGAATGGGTAGAGGCAAGTTACCATTCACTTATCTTGGTAGCCCAGTTACTACCATCCTCTGACTGTGACAGACTAGTTGCTAAATTAACTGCCAAGATTAATGCATGGAACTCTAAGCATTTCTCCTATAGTGCAAAAGTTAGACTTATTAATGCCATGCTTATGGGGGTCATCACCTTTTGGGCTTGGATCTTTATTTTTCTTAAAATGGTTCTTAGGAGGATATTGAGCATATGTAGAAACTTTTTATGGGGTGGATCAGTTGATTACTCTAAATCTCCTCTAGTGAGTTGGGACATTATTTGCCACCCTAAAAACAAAGGGGGTCTAGGGCTGAGAAACATCATAAACTGGAACAAGGCTACCATTATGAAATTAAATTAGGACATAGCTAACAAGAAGGATGTTCTTTGGGTCAAATGGATACACTCCAGGTATATCCAATCTGCTCTTGAGATTATTGGAGGCAGATGGTAAAGGTGAGGGATAGATTTAGGGATATGCAGTTAGCTGGGGAGTTTGAGGTGAAAAAGGGTTATGACTAGCTTCAGGGTGACCCCCAGAAGGTTGGATGGGCTAACTGGGTATGGAACAAGACTCCCCCCAAGGTGTAGTTTATATTCTGGTTGTTAATGCGAGATAGATTACTAACCAAGGCTAGAATGGCTAAATGGTATGCAGCTAACACTGAGTGTAGTCTATATGGAGATGAACTGGAGGACAACAAGCATCTCTTCTGTGAGTGTGAGTTTACAAGAAGGATTCTAAATTCAATTCTGCAACCTTATAACCTTCGGTATGATCAACATAGCATTGTGGAATTTGGTGAGATGATCAACACAAGGGTGGGATGCACACTTTGTAGAGAGATTATTGCAGCTTGAGCGATAGGATGTTATGGCATTTGGAGAGCGCGTAATGGGATTATTCATCAGAAGAACATCACCGAGCAGAATACTATAGACTATATTAATTTTACTCTTCATAGTTATATTGAGTTCAAAAGGAAGAATGTAACCAGCTAAGTGCGCTAATACTGAGCTTGTACTAAACATTATATTTGAAGTGGAATATATTGGTACTTTTGTTCAAAAAAAAAAGAAATATTTATGTAATATTTTTAGTTTAAGCAATATTAATATTAATGAAAAATTTATTTAATGTTTTTGTTTTAATTTAGATAAATAAAAATAATATAAAAGAAAAAAAGAAAGAGCAGGGCGTGATCCACTCACCACACTCTTGAATAAGAATGAAATGTCATCATAGAGAGAACAAAAGCTAACGTAGCCATCAAAACGAAAAAACAATCTGCGCAACAAATTATTCACCAATTATATGTACTGCAACATACTGCCTTTTCACACACACAAAAAAAGAGAGACCATTATACAATAAAATCTCTCGTTGCACACCAAGGTGTACATGAATGAATGAATGAATGAACCAAAGAATTACAAATTCAAAACCCCAATATTCATTCTAAGCACCAACCAGCGGGGTAGAAATGTCCAAGGAATAAAAGCTTGGTGGAAATAGCTGGAACGGCTCCGGGACATAGCAAGAATCCGCGCACTTTTCTGAGTCCGCTGCGTCGGAATCAGGCGCGGTTCTAACCCGTTTAGCCGCGGTTTCTTCGTCCCCGACATCGGGCACTGCTGTTCTGGCTCGTTTCTTCGCCCTTCCTCTGCCAGTTCCATTCTTCATCATTGCCATCATCTTCTCTTTGCACTGTCGAATGACTTCGTCCTGCTGGGAACCATTCTCCGGCGGCAGCGGCCAGATGCCGACCTCATCTCCGTCATCGTCCGGAGATCGGATGACGATCCAAACAGGGGTGTCGCAGAGTATTGAAAGCTCTCTGGCCTTCTTCATCACCCCTTCTCTTCTCCTCTTGAATGCTCGCCGGCGACCCTTTTCGCCTCCATTACCCTTCTCCGATGATAACAGCTTGCTTTTCTCCATTTTCTTCTACTCTTTTCCTCAATTTCCTGAATCTGGGTCGAAATTCAAACCTTCAATGAAACAGTTCGATCCATAATTGAATATTTAAAAAAATTCATAATAATCCACAGTTAATCGGTAAAAATCGGATCTTCGAGAACAGACGACTCATGATCAAAGGAGAAATTAAAACACCCTAAGGACTTAAATTGAGAAAATTAAGCTCTGTATTGTATTCAAAAAGGTAAGTCTAAACCCTAATAGAACGAATCTGAGAGAGATCTGAACGAAAAATCGAAGAAATTCAAAACCCTAAGTGTCTAAACAAAAAAACGAACGAGGAAGACGATGAAATTCAGAGGCGAAGAGAAAGAGGGAGAAATTACCTTAGAAGAATTGCGCGAAAACGGAGAGAGGATATGAATTTCAATCGCGCCGAATGAGAGGAGAATTAGAATCAGATTTAGAATTGTGAGAGAATAAGCTGGGGCGCTGGGGTTTGGGATGACCGAGTGACCTATTTTATACTGTGCTCATGGAAGTGACCGAGTGACCTATTTTAGGTCTGGGCTAAATGGGCTATGCGGGTTCCTCCGTCCGGAGTCCGGACCAATTGGTTTGGCTGAGATATTTACAATTTTACACCTAAATGTTTAGCTCGAATACCAAACCTAAAAAAGTTTAGCTCTGAATCATTAAATACGGCGGATGAGGCTTCCAATATTTCTCCTGTCCAAATATAATTAATGATACATCTTTTACTTTGTCAAAAAAAAATCATCTTAATGTTGAAATACAGGCTGATTCCGTTAAGGAACTGGGAAAGAAGATGGAACTGGGAAGAGGCAGGAAACAGAAATAGCACATGGCTGCATACATTACAGCATGTTGCTATTTTATCTAGAAGGCTAGAAACAAGAAAATTTATAAGGGCAAAAGAATCAAGGAGGAATTTACATTTCGGTGTATTAGTGAAATTGTTGGTTTATCACTTGAGGGTAAAAGGGTAGGAAAAAGGATTTAGATGGTTTTTGGAGTTGTTAGATTGGTTTAGTATGTATGGGGTTAGTCTATTGTTCTTACTGTTGTGTTTGGAATGAAGATTTATTTGTGCTTGGTTCAAAAAAAAACTTTTGATCCAATTTTGAACGGTGTAGTTTGTAGTTTTTATTTATATACCAATTTGTTATTAAATAGTTTAAAAAGTGATAAGATTTTGTACGTTCAAAAAAAAATTATATTACCCCTATTTGTTTAGTTTTAATTTTTTTCAGGCTCCGTCGAGCAACCTCACCAATGTGTCCACATTAATCTTAATGTAGCGATGAGGCGGCCACGTAGTCAATGGTGACACAAGCTCTCCTCATCAAACTTGGGAATTCAAGGGTGAATGAAGAATGGAGTATTTCGTATAGTAAATATGAATAAAAATGTTATTTTGAATATCTAAAGCATTTAATATTCATAATCTAGAGGCTTAAGTGCATACATTTTTAGTGTAATTGACTCGATTACAATGTAGTATTTGTTCTTAAGTTTCTCAACCTAATGGTGCACAACAAATCAATATTTCTGCTTGCGTTAGGGCTCGAACTTCGGTGATTTTCCTCATAAATCTTGCTAACTAGGCTTCCAAGCACTTAAAGATATGGGAGAAGTTCAAGTGCTTAAATAACTAAGAATGTAGTAACAAAATTGTATCCAAACATATATAATTAAAGAGAAATACATACTCCCCCCGTCCTATTTTATAACGCCTATTTCGGTTTACGATATTTGAATGAAATTATTTTCAAATCATTTTATATGACAAATGATATATAATTAAAAAATAAAAATTACATATTAAAATACTTACATCAAAAGATCTACAAAACTAGTAGTGACAATAGTACTTTATTTTATCAAATTGCTAACGAAAATAGAGAAAGAAAGTGAGTGAAATTTGACCTTGTGAATAGTAAACATGCATTATAATTTGGGACGGAGAGCATATATTTTAATAGTTTGGATAAAAAATTATCAACAAATAATAAGTTTTATTAAAAGTAAATTTACAATTAAGTTTATTTAATATATGCATTGTTATTTTAATTGTTTTATTTATTGGGTGCATTTCATTGTTATCATATACTTTGTAAAAACATGAAAAAAAATTAATAATCCAAAACGGGAAAATAATGTTAATAACAAAAGAAAAAAAGAATAAACCCGAAAATATAATAAAATAATGTTTTACTATTTAATACGTATTATAATTCTATAAAAGAATTTAATTTAAATAGAAATAGGTAAATATTTGTTTTAAAAAGTAAAAAGTGTAACTATTGCACTGGATGTATGGCACTACATGTGTGAATCGCAAGATGGTGAGTGTAGTCAACGTTGATGTGGGTGTTGATTTTTAAGTGGTCGGTGGTCAACATTGATGTGGGTCATTGGACAAACTTAAAAATAGTACACCTTTGAGACAGAGATAGTTGTTGTGTACTTGTGCCCTATGCTTGAATATTCTTGAAAAAATCGATGTTCAAACTATCAATATTCAATATGTGCCATAAATGATTATTCAAAGGCTATGGATACAAATACTCAAAGCCTAATTATAATTAATATTGGCATTTAAGAACTCGTTTGAAACAAAAATACTTTATTTTTGATGATGTTGTTGCAAAAATTAATCACTTTACACTCCCTACTACAAAGTATTAAAATACCTAGTTTTCAACAACAAAAAAATTGTCCAATCAATATTTGTCCGGTATACATAGAAGCCCCACTTAACACCATCTCTCCTTCCCATTAAGAAATGCTCAAATTTTAACCATAATTCTACTTTTTTTTCTTAAACTCAAAAATATAGAAACTTTAATATGAAAAGGAAGTAGTACTCGCTGGTTCTACAACAGCACAAAAGTGAGTATTGGCAATCATCAAAATTTGAAGGCAATAGCCTATATGGTCACTGGATAATATACAACACTTTGTGCTACAAATGAGAATACTAGTGTGTGTGTAGTATACAATCCAACACTTCTTCATAGGTATTGGCGAATGCTTTCGCCGCTCAGGGATTCCATCTCCCTGAGGATCTCTTGCGCAAGGGATTTCACCGATGGCTCTTCGTCCTCTAAGAGTTCGCCAAGGAATGGAATTGTTTCTGCCAAAAACTGCAAGTATTCTTCTTTCAAGCTCTGCACCAGCTGCCTGACCACTCTCAAACCCAAGATACGCGTCCGTAGTTTGTTGCTACGGGTGTGCATCAAAACCTGAAATATGACGACAATTTGGTACGGACGATTTTCAATAGGAACGGTTCTAGAGTGATTGGCTTTGGTTGACACTACAGTGCCTGTCTTTTTGGAGAACCTACGGTGCTTTGTTCGTAAAAATGATGGTTCCCACCCAATAAACCTCTCCATCCCGGCCCGAACCAACCCCCAACCCTCTTCAATTTTACCACCCAAATTTAGTTGACTCTTGGGTATAATAAAATTGACCCAAAAGTCAAGTGAATTCCCGGGATGAAAGTGAAGTGGTTCGAGTAGGACCAGTGATGGGTTTTCCACCGAGGGGGATTAGGGAATAGGAACCATCAGTTTTGTGAACGGTTCACAGGTAAGTACCCCAATTGGAGCCGGTGTCATCCAGACCCACTCAAAGTGAATCGCTCTAGAACCCCTTAGATTTTCCAATTGTTGGGAGGAGAGATGATTAAAGGAAAGGTTGGGAAATGACCTCATGGTTTAAGGGCTTCCAAAGAAGGTCAGAGCCAGAAGTGACAGCCATCTGACTAATGCATGAAACTAACAAGTCATCAACTTCCTCCACAGAAGGTACGCTTGGATTTTGTTCTAATAATAGTGGGGGATCAACATCTAGCTGTGAGACAATAGGCTGCAAAAGGACCTGAAGAAACATTTGTTGGTGAGTAAATCAACCACAGAGAAAAAACCCAAAAATGTCATGTATCCTTTGATGTAAGGAGTATAAACATATCATAATCCAACTAAATGAGGTAAATTTCACTGGTGGTACCTGACCTTTAGACATTTTTTAAATTAAGTAACTTAACTTCATTCTCTATCAAAAACTACACGAACTTTACCAAATCTTAGGTGGATGATGAGTTGGCTTCTAAATAAGTACTTTTATGGAAATGATTTTAGTAGATTAAGTCATCTACTAGTCATTTTGCTTTGGTGAAAGGAAAACAAGAGAAAGTTTGGAGAAAATAAAGGGCGGGCTCACAATTTATTTTAGATAATTGTTCAAACTCATTTTGCTTATTTCTTCATGTTACATAATGATAAAGAAATCATGTATGAAAAAAGAGTATAATAGTTAATCATATTACAGTTTCTAAGGTAAAGCCAAATATATAAAAAATAAGTTTACGCTTTTTTTTCTTGCATCATCAATGAGGCAAAAATACTTCACTGAAGTATAATATTGATTTTACAACATAAAGCATATCAGGGTATGGATATTATAACTTGCCTGGAAATTGGATGAGTCGAGAAACTTTTTAATTCCATTATCATAAAGGAAACATTTATGCAGTGAAGATAAAATCAGTGCTCTTAGATGCCATGCTCCAACAGATATACCGCAATCTGCATCCTTGTTTGTTTCCGAACGCTTGGCTTTTTTCTTTTTCTGAGTGCCAGCATCTTTCCCATCTTCAACCTGCTTGAGGTGTCTTACACAATCCTCCAGCAAGTACTTGAAGTACGGGACAAACAGTGACCTGAAAGTTAAATTCAAACTCATAAAAACATCTCAAATGTGGAACCAGAAAAGGTAATTGCAAAAGTAACTCTGAAAAATATATTGCATCAATAGAGTTTCTATATGTTTGATATAGGTGGTTGTTTAATAAAGAAAAATATAGTTGGAAACCAATTGCATCATATTTTGCAGCATTGTTCTAAAAATTCCTGTCTACCTCTGCACAGGTGTAGGCATTCCCTAGCAGCCTATGATATACCTACGCATAAGACCGCTTAGCTCTCATATAATGTCCAGGTAAGCACTCCAACACACCATTATACCATCTAGTCTACTGTCCGGGGGGGTTGTTTAACGCTTTTTAGAAGACTTTTGTGCAGCACTAAACAGTGGCTTTTTAAGAGAGTATCCAAACATGTACACAAAGAGCCTAGTCAAAAGAAAATCAAGGGCACTTGGCTATGCCATTGACCCAAATCACATCATCAAAATGTTTCAGAAGTCTCATTTTACTTTACCGTGAAAAATATTTATTAGAAGCCCCAGCCTGGAAAATTCCTAATACACCCCCGCACCCCCTCCAATTACATGCCCCAAATAAAACCATCTTTTAGATCATGTCATTAAGTAGACTGTAGACAACCAAAAAAAAGTTCAGATCCATGGTGTAAGACATTTGAGTAAAGTGTTAGACAAGAACCACAAGTTTGGCCTCAAATATAGTAGTTAAAAAAATAACACCACATTAACCATATAATCTATAAGAAAAAAACAGTGCATATC